CCATCTGTTCTGCTCTAATTTCAACAGTCCCCTGGGATAACCATATTTTATTATTGTCTTTTAATGTAGATGCAGGTATTTAGATACAGAAAAAAAATACTTTGTTTATTTGCTGTGACTTGTATAGCACATGGACACATGCCCTCAATTAAGTTTTACTTAGGTACATATTAAAGGAAGAATACCATATTTGAATTCAAACTTTCCTTTGATTAATATCTTGCCATAATGTGCAATAAATTACCCTCTTGCTGAAGATGCAGTTCTTATTTCTACTGCAAATGTGTCTGGCTCATATTTTAGCCACAGGATCTAGATATCCCATCATTTTTTGCTTCATCACAGAATTTCTGTTCACAAGGTGCATGCTTCAACACTGCAATCAAGTCCCTCCCCTCCTTTCTCTTCGATAATATTTAACATATCGAGATCTTAGAATTTTTCCCTCTGGAGCTATTTTCAACCCTTCTTCATTCTTACAGTTCTTCTCTGAAGTCTCTTTGAATCTAATATCCTGCTTGAAATATGAAGAACTAAACTTGACAGAAGATTTTTTTGAGTGATCTCATTAGTGCCAAACACAAAGACACGGCACATTTCCTGCCCACTCATACAGATTGGGTCACTCTGCAGCTTTGTGCAAGTTCTCAAATTAATCTGTATTTACATGGAAAACAGTTAACTGAGAAGCTAAAACAAGCAATCAAGAGAAAACTAAAGAACAGACCCAGCAATTCTACCAATTCAGCTTCCCAGATGACTGTTGCATATATCCCACTCCCTATACGTGTTTGGGAGAAACATCCCTCTGATTTTCAAGCAGAAAGCCCAGAACATGTGACTGCTGAATCCTTTGGCTCTGGATAAAGGTGGAATGCTGTACTTAGTGGTGTACAGAGTTAACTAGTCTGAATTCAAAGTCAAGGCTTACTGAGGTCAACAACCTATGTCAATAGTGCTGTATCATTGATTTTCAACACAAGTAACACATCAGTAATAATAGGATATTCTCATTTTTATTCAGTTCCTGTACCTATCCTGTGCTTCATATATCCACAAAGAACTGCAAATACATTTGTACAAGAAACCAGAAGAAGCAGTGTTGGTGAACCTTCATTTGAGTACTTCTTGACTATGTTTTCAGATACACGGTCTCAGTATTTTTTTCCCTGCTAGATCCCAACTGACCAACAGATCCCATGGCAAGAAGATGGCTGAGAGAAAACAACTGCTCCTCTGCACTCAGCCTGGGCTGTGACAGGTGTACTTGATTATCATTTTTTTGGAATTACACAGGTACTGGAGGATGAAGAGTGGCCTTTGCTGCTGCCCTGCACAGCAGGGTTAACTGACAGACCCAGCAGGTGCATGCCTGAGGAGGAACAAAGTGCTGTGATGCACGTTACTAAGTCTTTGAGAACAAAATGCATTGTTTTCAACTGATGATAGAATCACAGAACCTCCCAGGTTGGAGAGGGCCTCTAAGAACATTAAGCCAAACCATCAACCCAGCACTGTCAAGCCCAGCACCAAACTGTGTCCCCAAGTGTCACATTTACACATCTTTTAAAGCCCCCAGGGATGAGAACACCACTCTCCTGAGCAGACTGTTCCAGTGCTCAAGACCCTTTTTCTGTGAAGGATTTTTTTTTCCAATATCCAATCTAAACCCCACCCCAGGCACAAGCAGTTTCCTCTTGTCCTTTTGCTTGTTACTCAGGAGAAGAGACTGACCCTCACCTGGCTAGAAACTCTTTTCTCAGTCAGAACACTGAGTCACTTACTGGAGGCAATTTCCACATCAGTATCTGCTCTGTATCCCACAGCTGGAGATAATGCCTATTTCATAGCTGGATTTATTGCAAACCCAAGCATGATCTGCACGAAAATGCAAAACAGGATCCCAGTCCTGCTAAGTTTTAATGTAGAGCCACATATCAATTGTTACAATGTCCTCATGTTACATTGCATACTCCTAATGAACTCATTTATAAATGTATTTATAATGCATTTGTCTAAACACCAAATCAAACATCACAGGGGAGGAGAGGGTTGGAAAAGAAGAAAACGAAACAAAAAGCCCAAGCAGCATTCAAGTGATTCTATATTGCAGGAATGCTGGTCTGGCCAACAAAGCTATGTTTAGAGTAGAAGATCTAGAGCCACTGAAAAAGTCTGAGAATTCAGAAATGTCTATTTGACAGATTACCATAATGAGGACCTGCAGCACACGTTCCCTGGAGAATTACATGTGAATCACAAAGAACTTCTGAAATAAATCTGTTTATTAAGGGGGAGATAAAGCACTTTGAAGGTCTATTTTTGTCTAGTTTGTATTAATACCCTGAGGTTATTTTAAAAGGGGGAAAAAATAATGCAGGTATGTACCACAGCAGTGACAAGCAAAGACTTCAGCTATGAAGATTAACAGAGCGAGAAGTCATATGATCCAGCATGACTATGGGAACTGCTACCAAAAAACTGCAGCTTGTGACATGCATGTGAACCACGAGCATCTTTCTATTGACTTAGACAATTCTGACTTTCTTCCCATTAAACCTTATTTTCTGCTTCAGATAAACAACCTGGACCAAACTTTTCCAAAGCAAAAAATAAAGTTTTCCATTATCACAAACAAACGTATTGCTTCATTATCAAACAATGCAACCCCTTAGTATTGTTTCAGCCAGTATCTTCAGCAATGCAAAACTTTTGTATTTTTAAGGATGTGAAAAAAGGAAACCTCTGCTAAGTTTAGACAGACACTAAAACCAAGAAATATCAGATGAAACTTGGAAAAAAGTGTGTTTCTGTGGGATAATTTCTTTAAGAAAATGTTGTACGTATAGCTCTAGAATTTTTAATTACAAAAACTCCAGCTGAAAAAAACCCTGCTAAATAAGCTACAAAAGAGCATTCTTTGGCTTGTTTCAGGTGATTAAGTTTATGGTAGATTATCATACAGTTAAGACATCTACTAGGAATGTGATCCATGACCAAAATTGAGAAGACACTCTTTAGTATTTTGATGATAGCAGAGATAAATGCTGCATTATGGATGTACTGGGACTCATACAAGAGCTCTTTAGATTAAAATTCTCAAAATACACGCAGTTAGTGCTTGATATACAGGACTGGCATCGTTACAGTTCCAGTCATCTAATGCTTTCCATATGCTAACCAATGAACAAATAAATTTGCCTGTAAATGCAAGAAATATGTACCAAGTAATAAATAAGCCAACATGAAACAGGCTGTTCATATCAGGGTTAAAAATCTAAATTCTTTATTTCTTCTCCGAATATTTCTGTCCTGATGACTCAGCAACAATGCTGCAAGTTTCAGCTGAAGTCAGCAAGATACCTCAGTGCTGTTTTGCAAGTGTCAACTCCACACTCGTTACGGAGATTGCTTTAATTACAATTTTGAGGCCATCTCAGTTACAGGAGACGAATACCTGCTGAAGTCAAGGTGCTCTGCATGGATGGAGAAACCAAGACACTGAGGATCGCACAGAAGGACGACAATGACAATGCTGTCTAGACTGAAACTTGCGAAATTACCCGGCTGCGCTGCTGGTACCCTGAGCACACCCCAAATCCCGAGGGGAGCGCGTCCTGTCATCCTGCTGACTGCGCCCATGGCCCGCAGCAAGTTCTCACCATGTGACACAACACAGTTTTGGGGGTTCTGCTTCAATATTTAAAAGCTTTAAGGCGCTAGCACATCGTTCAGTTTGTAGACTCTGGCGAGACCACGCTGGTGTCCCGTTTCCCGGCGAACAGAAAGGGCACGGAGCAGCTCCAGGCGGGCAGCAGGGATGGAGAGAGAGCGGGACCATCCGCACGGCGCAAATATTTACCTGTCCTGCCCCAAACACAGCTCCAGCCCGCGGAGGAGCCACCGCGGACCCTTCTATTTCACCGAGCTCTGAGTTACTTTTTGAAAAAAACAAAACAAAACAAAAAACAAACAAAAAAAAAACACGCACGGAGCTGACGGAGCTCGCCTCCGCGCTGACAGCCGGGCTGCGCCGGGGTCGGGGCGAGGAGCCCGAGGGTCCCGCCCGTCCCAGCCGGCGTTACCTGCGCTGTGCCCGGTGTTACCTGAGCGGTGCCCGGTGGTACCTGAGCTGTGCCCTGCGCTGTGCCCTGCGTTACCTGCGCGGTGCCCGGTGTTACCCGCGCTGTGCCCTGCTCGGTGCCCGGCGTTACCTTCACAGCCCGATGCCCGGTGCTACCTGCACGGCTCGATGCCCGGCGCTACCTGCGCTGTGCCCAGCGTTACCTGCACGGCTCGGTGCCCGGCGCTACCTGCGCTGTGCCCGGCGTTACCTGCACGGCTCGGTGCCCGGCGCTACCTGCGCTGCCCCGCGCCGTGCCCGGCGCCGCACGGCCCGGCCCGGCCCGCCCCGGGAGTTTTCAGCAGCCGTAAAGCGGAGCGCGCCCGGCCCCGGCCGTCAGGGGCCACCCCGGGGAGCGCCCGCGGGGCCGCGCCGGGACCGGACGGGACAGGACGGGGTTCACGGGACCGTGGGATGGTTGGGTTTTAAGGAGCGTCTTGTTACAACTGTTGTGTCATGGGACGCTTTCCGCTAGAGCGGGGTGCGCCAAGCTCTGTCCAGCCCGGGGATGGTCCGGGCAGCCGGTGCCAGGGCTCGCCGCCCGCAAAGGGAAGAGTTTCTATCATATGTCTAATGTAGGTTTGCCCTCTCCCCACCGAAAGCTGTTCTCCTTCGCCATATCATTCCACCCCTTGTCAAAGCCCCTCTCCAGCTCTGTTAGCCCCTTTAACTAGAAGAGGTTTCCGTGGAGTTTTCTCATCTCTAGGCTGAACAGCCCCGTCTCTCTCAGCCCTTTGTACCCTTTGACAGATAATGGTGGTGTTCAAGCCTTGTTTTACATCTTTTGGGGGCGATAATTTATGATCTGTAGCTTTTTGTTGCCTGTACAAGTCCCATCCCCGGGGCTGGGAAGGGAGATGAGAGGAGCTGAGCGGGACAGAACATCCGAGCACTGCGGGCACACCTGAAACTAAAACCACACCAGAGCACAGTTCTGGAGGTGTCTGAACTGCTGCAATTACTCTGCTTTCACAAAGCCTCTTAGCAGGTAAACTCTGATCTTGAATGCACTGCCATTACAATACTGTCTCTTTAGTAAAACGAATTTCCTCGACCCAGATTAATGACTTAGTTCTGCTTGGAAGCATTTCGCTGTTAATTCTGTACCTAAATCTACAATTTGTCCTGTAATCCCGGATGCTACCACACAAGGTACAGGGCTCAGCCGTTCAACAGAGGCAGGAGAAGCATCAGCCTGATAAATTTCACTGTCTGAAGTCAGGGTTAGTATTGTTTACCCTAAGGGAATTACTGATAGAAATGTTCATTTTAAGAAGAAATATGTCCAGCCACATTTCCCAGAAAGACGTTTATGAAAGAAAGAAAAAGAAACAACAACAACAAAAAATTTAAAATATTTTCCCTACTGAATAAAAACTACTATTGAAATAAAGGCATCTTAGCCTAGCAGCTGCTGCAGAAAAGGCAAAAAGCAAAGTCTTCCAGAAGTCTTCCAGGCATATGGTACACATATAAGTAGAAATATAAGAATATAAGAAAAGCAAATTTCAACCATTTATAATAGAGCTGGCTTCTGCTAATAAAGTATTAATGGGAAAGTCTGTCTGGACTGCTGTAGTTCTGAAAACAATTTTAGAAAAAAACAGAGCAATGTAGTCACTGAAGAGCAGGTGAACTAATCTACAGTCCTCATTAATAAAGTACTTTTTTCAACGTTATGCAGAAGTAAAACGGCTGCAGCTGGAGGTGTACTTTTCTTGCCCAAAGAAATCTACGAGGCTTGTAGGTGTACAAATGCATTTACTCAAAGCGTGATTCATCAGTTTTCATCAGTTATTCACAAGTTTTTTGTCTCCTGCAATAACATGTTAGAACTCTGCTCTTTCCTACATTCTTCTCTTTTCTATACCACCCCCAGGTACGAGCCGTGGCTATGCACTGGCTTTGTTAGTCACTCCAGACTTGAGGATTTTGTGCTGTGTAGCTTAAGCCAGTCTTGCCCATTCCGTGAGAAAGGCTGAGGCTGAACTTCAAAACAGGTTTGCCACCACCACAGTTTCACATTTCCTTGCTTCAGCTGTGAACTACTTCTGGTAGTCCCAAGCTTGGCACAAGTGTGAGCTGACACTGCAGCAGAGAAATCATCTCAAAAGGCAAAGTGCACCAGCCCTGACTCCACATGCTTTCCCACAGGGTTCCAAACTCGTTAGGAGTTTGTTAGGAAAGCTGTTTGGAGTCTTGTGACTGCTGCATCTTAGTGAGAAATTCCTGGACAGGTTTCTTAATTACTAAGCAATAGCCAAAAGTCAGTCAAATACAAAATTCCATTAACTTTTTGCTAAAACCAGGCTAGCTTTGCTGCCCAGACCCTCGTCTTCCTGCTGCTGTTGTAAGAATTCCTCCCTTCCCCCAACATTTTTGCCAAGGATTGGCCTCATCACAGATCACAGAGAGCATTTGCTTACCACAGTACAGAGCTGCAACTAACGGGAAAAGTTCGAGATAAGGGGCAAGGATGGTTTTTATACTGAATTAAGACCACACTCTCTAGAAGTCACCAAAGAAAAAAAAAAAAGTAAATCAAGTGGTGCCCCAACATTCAGGGAAACTGAAATAGATTTACACTATGAAGAAAAAATCTCCAAGCAATTACATTTTGCAGAAACTTATTGTGACCTGACTAGAAAAGGCCATGCAAGATAATCACATATAAACTTAAAACCTTCCCTAAAACTTTTCTGAAAGTAAGCAGTGCATGAAAGGTGTACATCCATAAAACACTTCAGTATTGGTGCACATCTTTCTTTCTAAAAAATATATCAGTTAGTTTGGAAATGGGCATGGAAACATGGAAAATTTGAATATTAAGTTTAAAGAGACTTCATTGTCTTGAGATACTGGATAAGGCAGTTTCTAAGTTTTTGCTTTACAGAAAGTGTAGAATATAGAACTTGAGTTGGAAGAGATTCACAAGTGTCTTCGGGTCCAGCTCCTGGTTAGGTTGAAATGAGTCTATGCGATTGTTTTAACTCCTGACTTTAAATGGCTGTTTATAAGAATGAGTTTAATTTCCTTCTGCAGGTGAAAGTTGGGTTGGTTGGTTTCTTTTTGTATTTTTACCAGCCTGCAAAGTGATTGAGCTTCAGGAATTCTGTGCAGCAGAAGTGCCACCTCGTGGCTCCCTTCATCCTTGCTGGGTTTGATGCTGCTTTTTGGGGTTATATTCGATTTACTAAGAGAGAAACTAATTGTTAAGAGAGTTCAGTCTACGACCCATATAAGATCGATTCTGCCTGGTTGCCACGCTGGTGGGCTGACACTATGGAAGTCCCTTGCTGGAGGACACTGATCACTATAGTTGGCAGGACTAGTTATTCCAGTGCAGGAGAAGGAAAACATTAAAACTGTCATTTTAAAAGTCTGAAAGAGACCTACAATCCGGCCCCTTATCGCCCATTCCCGCAGCATTTAATCAAGGAAGGTACTGAGACCAAGAGGACTGGTAGGCATGCCTGGAATGTCAAGTCCTGCTTCTTTACACACATTAAAGGCACCACACATTTAAATAACAGAAGCCCCACTTGAGGAAACAAGAAATTAAATGCCTTTAAAACCATCTGCTAAATGCAGTTTGAAAGTCTAAAATTCTTTTTTATGGGCAGTCTCTGCCTTTTATACTGAAAAATTAATTGGATATATGTATTTTACAGAATAAATCCACGATTCAGCAAGAAAATTAATGAAATGAAGAGACAGTTGGAGCCGCTGCCAAGAACAGTCATTTCAGACCTAGCAACCTTGGAAAATGACCTTTTAAATAATTAATTTGGAAAAATAACACTACAAAGCAACAAAAATGAGCGTTACCTACCTATAACTGCTAATAGCAGTAGCTTCCAAAGAATGAAGGCATTGAGTGGATCATGGAAACTCACTAGAGCTGGCGTTCCTGTATCAGTGTTGAACTGCCTCGATGCACCTCCTAAAGTAACTCCAGGTTAACTCAGGGTCTGTTTCTAGCCCTGTACAATCAAGTACTCTGATCTAGAGGACAGGAGTGCACAGCTGTGCAGCCTTAAGAAAGTGAGAAGATAACAAAATTAGTCCTAAAAGGGCTACCATGGCTTCCCCAAGTACTTAGGGAAGGATAACTAAACAAGGAGGAATGCGACATACTTAGACAAGCCATTCATTATTCATCATCCCATAAGCAGTGAAATACCTCCCTAAAAATGGCTTTTAAGCACGCATACTTTACACAATTGGAAGAATGTCTGATTCATGTTCAAGTACTGTTTAAGTAGTGCATACTGATGCAAAATAACTTCTATGGTTCTGTAGTGCATACTGATGCAAAATAACTTCTATGGTTCTGTAGTGCATCTGAAGTTTTTCTATTCCTTGATCCATACCTTACAAAGAATAACTAGCAAAAGCGGGAAATTCGAATTTTTGTCCAACTAGAGCATGATTATTTTTTCTGTAAAGGAAACGTCTCCCTACTTAAATGCATTTTTTTAAAGCTTTGAAATCTATCCTCTTTAAATGAGACGGAAGTCCTGTTTCTTATCAAAGCTTTCCTGCAGTAGATTCTCCCCACCTTTCCTCTCCCACTCAATAAAGCTGTGTCCTTAAGCTGCAAAACATAGTTCCCAAAAGTCTCTGCAGCTCTCTTGGTACTGGAAGAAGCTTCAGTGTCTCCTAGAACCTTTTCAGGCTGAACAGCCCCAACTTTGCCTGACTCCATAGCAGAGATCCTGCAGGCCTCTGATCATCTTTGTGGGACTCACTCCAGCAAGTCCAAATCATCCTTTTGTTGGGTGCCCCAGGGCTGGACACAGCACCCAGAGAATCCCAGACCCACTCCATCAAGAGATGGGAGTGAATAAAATCAACATCCCTCATAAACCGGACTCCACAACACCTGAAGTCATTTCACAAGAGAAACAGTTTCCATGATAAAGATTATAGCCACAGATTATGGAGAAGACATGCTTCTTGCTTTTTTCGTTATTTAAATAATAATCACTGGTGGATTTTTGGAGGTTTTTGTGAATTGAAACAGAAAATGAGAATAGGTAGAGAAGCTGAGCCTTAATCCTCCAATTTAATTTCCTTTAATCTTGCTTATAGAATATCCTCTTTTTTAACTACCCTTTTTTTTTTCACCAAAGCCTGGCACTTTCACATCCTCTTACACCTTTTTACCACGAAATACATGCATTGCTATTCTCCAGACAGACTTTCCTCCCCCCTCTCCAGGTTTCTCCACCTCATGCTCGATGCCCTGTTTAGGTTTCTTATCCAGGATGGCTATCACAGCAAAACTGGAACAGGAGCAGAAGACAGCGCATTGCAAGTGGCCCTTTGGCAACCTGCAGGGCTCACACTTACAGCTAATACTCTGAGCGCAGGTAGGGTGGCGAACACAACATTAAGACTAAATAAAAAAACGATTTATATTATCCCCCGCTGAGGTCTGAAGCTGGGATAGGTAATTTGTTCCAAATGGAGGAGGAACACTACAGACTACAGTGCTCCAGGCTTTTCTGGGTCTTGATCGTTTAACTCATCCCGGGGTTTCTTCACATAACCTGACCTCCAGTTGTTTTTGAACAAAAGAGGTAACTGCTGAAGATTGTTGAGAAGACAGAAAGGAGACAACCCCTAATTACTGGTTGATTTCATCTGGAACTGCATTATAGTCAGTACTTAGCAAGAAAAGAGACTTAAAGGAAACATCAGTTCTTAAACCAACACAAACATCAGCATTTTTGTTCTTTATTAACTCAAAACGTTTTATTTAAGAGCAGCAGGCCTTGCAAAATAAGGAACAATCTAAAAAGAACCCCTGTTGACATAGACAGATTCGATTTGCTCTGATAAAAGACAAAGACCCGCGAATCTTGCAATGTATCATTTGCTTCCAAGGACAGCAACATATAACCTGTGATTTTAATGATTGTCCTGCCACTGATCATTTTGAGAAGCACAGGAAAAAGTGCAGTTAAGCTAAATATTATTCTCTTACCCTTCCAGAGCACAGTATTTCATTTAAGTCATTCAGGTAGAGGTAGTTTTGAGAGTAAGTAGTAGATTTGAAAGCTTGTTTGTAGTTTTTTGAGCTCCAAGACTTCTGCATAATTTAGGCTAGTTCACATTTCAAAAACTTTTCAGAAACTTTAAGATATCATACACATTTTAAATATTCAGCTTAAAATAAAGCTGCTGCAGGGTCCGGTTCTGACTTTGCATATATCAGTACTTTTGAATCAAGACAAATTTCTCTTGAGAGAGAATCTTCTTTCACCACTCAAAATAATTATATTGCCACCATTCATATTAAGAGAAAAAGACAGATGGCCTTTACCCAGAGATGCTCTGGTGTGCCCTTACAGAGTTAATTGGAGGACTGACATCTGAAAGAGCTCTCTATTTCCCAGGACTCATTTTCTCTTTATTCATACTATACCATCCTGAAAGACAGAAACATTTAACAGATGCTCCCCAGACATGCATTGTTTTTCCTAATATTTTCACGCTGTGGTATAGCAATCCTGCCCAAAACCTCACCACAAGCAGCATCCTGAACATAAAATATCTACTGCCAGCAGAGGAAGTTGTCTGTTTCCCTCTTACCTAAAAGAATTATCAGTGCATACCAGGAAACAGTGTCAGATGTGCTCATCAGTCACAAGTAATTACAGATCCCTATCATCATTGTTTTTCCACCCAGTCACCTTATCTCTGACAAGACACAAAAAAAACTTCTACCGTTGTGGGAAGGATTTGTCCCAAGTTTGCTGTCAGAAAAATAAGGATATAATGTGTAAGAGCCCAAATGTTTTTACTCTTGTTTATAAATAGCAAGAAATTGGACTTTTTTTATTTTCATTTCATCAAATGTAAACTTCACTAGCTTGTAGGCACCTCTTCACAATTGTTTTTTAAAGAAATATGTAATGTTGCTTTCTTAATGTAGCTTTTGACTGGTTTTTGTATCTAATTAAAACCACATTCCAATGTAAGTCCTCATGAGTCAGAGCTTTGCCCAGTGATCCATCAGGAGAGACACTCGAGCTTATGCCCATGCAGTGCTTCACTGCAGAGGAACCTAATTAAATTAACTGTATAAATTGAGTGACCATATGGAACCATCAGTGATGGAGAGATGCTGCAACTTGGAAGCAAAATTATCGCAAGAGAGTCTAAAATAAGGAAATAAGGTGCAACTTATAAGAAGAAATCTGCTGAATAGTCCAAGTACTGGAACAGAAGCTCTGTTTAGAAGGGGAGTGTGTCAAGAGATAGTCCATACAAAGAAACAGTAACAAGTTATTATAATTCTGAGGCACTTAGCAGAAAAACCTCACAGAAACAGAAGAATTTAATTTCTTTCCGTTTACTACCAACGGCAATGGCCACATGCTGTTCTGTGTTTGTATTTATCGTGTATTTTTGTTTGTGCCACCAGAATATAAGCTTTTCCAGACAGAGCCCAGCTGTTTGTTTGGCACAAACTTCCCTATTATACAATTCTGGGTACACTTAAACAGGGGCTATACATGCTATGTTAATTCTCTCTGTGAAAAAGACTAATTAAATCAAAACCTGATAAAATGATGTTGCAATTTTCACAGAAATCAACAGAATCAAGGACATTTCAGTTCCAACTCTCCAGGGGACCAGCGTGTGAAAAACTGAAATATTTTAAAAACTGTAATTAGAGCAAAAGCAAACTCTAGGAGCAGTGACAGACTCAAGCCTTGGTACATCTGGTGAGAAGCTGCCACTCAGCTCACACTGCATCTTGTTGCCAGTGCAGTGCTGAGCACAGGCACCAAAATCTGCCTTATGGCTCACATTGTAAGTCCATGGTAGAGTTACTTTCAGCATAGATCATCACCTCTTTCCATTCCAGGACACCACAGTTTATAGTGATTCACAGAGCAGCACTACCCACAGCAGGGATAGTCTGCCCCACTGCATGGGGGTTGTTTCTTTGCACCTGCTTAAACCTGCAGGAGTTTGCACATTGCTGATTCTGCTGTCAGGAGGCCTGTGCCTGCTATGATCCAGACTTAAATATCTAAAAAGCCTGGAGAACACTCAAAGGATGCACCTTCTTTGCTGTTTCCGTGGTATTTTCTGCCTTGTTGTGTGGCTGTACCCACAGCAGAGCAGCTTCTGCAACACACCAAGTCCTTTATGGAAGAGCATTCACAGAACTTCCATTTAAATCTGTACCCGGTCTTGTGATCCTACCTAACCTTCTTAAAAAAGTTAAAATACATGCTGACACTGGGTTTCATGCCCTTTGCATTGACACAAGAGACTACACAAGGTACAAGAACAGAAGGCAGCTCACTGCTGATTCAAAGGTAGCTTCAGAGGATGTGTGTTAATCCCCTGTCACACTACAGCTCTACAGGAAAAACATTTACATTAGCTGCTATGAAATCCATACAGTAACGTTTGTTCTCTAGTTTGGTGGCTGCAATTCTTCAGTTTCCGAGACACATACCCAAACAAACTCTATTAAAGGGAGTCAAATAGTGCAAACACTAAAAGATAATTGAAAACCTAAGCAGGCACCAGAATTTTATCAAAATCTTATCTGCACCTGTTGGTGCTGGACATTTGTTGCATATAGCAAAAGCAAATTCGAGGCTGTAAAACACCCAATATAGATTAAAGTGGATAAATTGAGGGTTTTGTTTGTCCAGGGCTTACACTTTCTTCATGGCACATCTTGTATCTGATTTACTTGTCCTAATGCAGGCTACTGTAAAGAATGTGTTATTACATCTTTTAATTTCAAACACACTTCTGCAATTGCTATGTATAAGAAAACAGAAAACACATGACTGAATCTCACTTGATCTCTTCACACTACTTCTGTCGGTGCATGGGCTTTAATTCCAATCAGCACAAACAAATCCATAGCAGAGACTGGCACAGAGAAATACATTACAATTTTATAAGAAAATCTTGCCTTTTTTTGAAATTCTGAGCAGAAGGGGTCCAAGAAAGACCATGTTAGAGGTAGCACTGCTTCAGTACCTAGTATTTTCCTTTATTCTCATTTTAGCAGGTATCATGGGATTAATTTTAATTCCCATGGCCAAAACTTTTAAAACTAAGGGTGATTAAATTACTTTTTAAGCAAAACATAACTTGCAGACTGCTAAGGTAGCAACTTAAGTAGAAGTGAAATACCTTTTCAGACTAACACAGGCCTCAAGATGCTGTCATGTAATAAATAGCTTTTCACTGCTCTGGTTCACTTTCATACTGAGCATCAGTGCATGGAGCAAGACAACAATTTGGCTCTGAACAGTTGTGGGTTTTTTGAAGTGTGATGGTGTAGCTGGGTACTTTCAAGAATAAAAATACTGTCAAAGCAGCATACAATTTAAAGTTCATAAGTGAAAAAAAATGGATGGCTCATCAACAAAAATGTCATTTCTAAGAATAAAGAGAGATTTTTTTTTTTTTCTTAAACACTGCTCATAACTCCAAGGGAAAAAATCAGTGTCTTACAGAACTAGTAGTGGAAAGCAGCAAGGACAACAAATGTCAAGTTAAAGTTGATGTATTTGCTGGTGCGTCATTTAGCAGTGCCTGAAGGATAATCCCAGCAAGATGGGTATTTCAACTTGGTTTGGCAGCATCCCTAACTGGGGTAAGAAAGTCTTATCACTTTATTAGAACAACAGTGTAATTAGAATAGAATTTGGGAAAAAGTAGCTGGAGTTCGTGGGGTTTTTTTATTTTTTAAATTTTTGTATAAAGATTCAGTGAGATAACTTCAGCAACCAGCTTGAAGCTGCGAATGTTTATGATTTTAGCAATTAGTATGCCAAAAGGCTAACTGTGCAACAGACTAAGAAATGTACTGTTCTTGCTCATAAAAATACAGCCTGTATTTATGGGTTTTACCTCTTATGTTTTAAGGATGGCAGAGTGTAGCCCATTTTCTTTTGCACTTTATATATTTTGCAGCAATACACTCTTTACCTCCAGACATCTTCATTCCTTTCCAAATAGTACCTGGAACTCAGATGGCATATTAAGATTTGTGCAGTTTGACCTTCCTTGCCTTTCATGCAGAGCTCCAGTGGCTCTGACTAGCAAAGTTTGGGACACAAATAATTTTTCGTCCCAAACTTAGTTGCTTGTTAGGATAGTATGAACGTTCTGTTAGAGGGTAAGTGTTGAAAACAGTTATACTCATTAACTCACACTGAGTTTATACTGGCTTTAGCATCTTCTCCCATCTAAACAACAGAACACACAGCATCACCAGCTTTCTTTGTAGTGTCACATTTGATTTTCTTCCATACAGAGAGGAAAAATTACTCCATAAAATGAATAAGAAATAAAATGAATCCAGCACTGTTCTTTGGCATTACATATATACATATATTTGGCTGATAAATGGAGACTCTCCCTCAATTAAGAGCTGCTGAGTGATCAGAGCACACTGAACCTGAAATTGGAATGTCAAAAATCTGCCTTCATTTTCAGTTGCAAGCCACATGCCAGTTTTCATATTGAAGGCTCCATGTGGAGCACACAGTGCTCAGAGCCCCACCCAGCCAAGGAAAAGAATATTTAGAATATAAAGCTTGAAGAAAGTACTGCATAATATGTATAGACTGGGAATAAGATAGAGTTTTGTGGCCTTTGCCTCTTCCTGGACAGACTTGTACCATGTGTTCTTGGGGATCTCTTGACATCTTTTGCAAAAGTCAGGACTGTTTGAAGAATATACTCACAAAAGCGTTTTCCATAGCATTCAGAGAAAACAATTCAGCACCAGAGTGTTTGATATGTATGGTTAAGAAAACTTCCCTGTCCCACCATCCAGGAGTCACTCTCACCACCTGAGCTGGAACTGAGGCCCCTTCTCAGCTACACCCCTTCCACTCACAGTCAGAACAAGTTTCCTCATAACTCGGCTTCAGGTTTCCCATAAGAGACTAACAGAATCTCACAGGTAGGAGTCCTCAGCTCCTGCCATGTCCCTGTCCCTCACCTGGCTGTGAGGTCCCCATGCCCTCAGTTCACAGCCCTGCCCCTCAGCCCAACCTGCAGCTTGTACCCCAAGCTATCTGCACTAAATGTATTTCCCAACATCTGCAGTGCCCAGTTTTAAACAACTTGTACAATACTCTTCAGCAGCAAGGAGTATGGTGTTTAAGGTGAAGATGTCATGTGGCCAGAACCATTCTAAAGACTGGCTGTTCAAAACGAGATATTCTGCACTGAAAACATCATCATTGTTCTCAATGGTCTATTCACTTAAAATAGTCACACCAGTAGACCACCATTAACAGCCAGCAGCTTCTCCTTTGGGCCCCTCCTCTTTTTATTCATGGATTTGAAATAGAAATGGCCTCGGACAAACATTTTCATTTTGAAACACTTCCTACTCTGAAGTCATCTCCAGCATCAAAATGAACAACTGCAGAATGAATTAAACCATGTAAGATATGACTTTTGCCAAGTACCACCATCTGGATATTTAAATCCACAAAATCTCTGCTATAGGGGCAAGTGCATCACTTACATTTCAATAAATGGGAAATCACCTACTCCTCAAGTGTATCTACTTCTTGGAGCAGACAAGGTGTACATTACACCAAGATCCTAACTGAGTTAATACTGTTCACCTGGTCTCACTACTTACATGTGGTGAGACAGACCACTTAAAGCTCTTGAGTACATTCTGTTTGCAATGAGTTGTACACACTTCTGAAGAGGAAAGAAACAAGTCTTCAGAACCCATCGATTTGTGCCTCCTCATGCTTCTCTACCTGGAGCTAAAGGGTTAAAGGTAAACAGGTACAGTAAGCAGCTGTTTTATAACTGCAACATAACAGGACATGTATGTGTGGAGGGAGAAAAAGTCCAAGCCAGAGGCAACTGCCCTTTTTCCATTAACACTTTCACTTACATTTGCAACTTTCCTTACAAGCTTTGAATTTACCCTCTAAACACCATCACTCACAGCTAATACCAGACATTAGCTGTACAGCACATTACAAAATGTGCCACATCTAGATAGGGAAAAAAGGTGGATTATTTGCCCCATTTCCAACCTTTACTGCTAAGTTATCTTGACTTACCTTTCAACAATCTAATGACA